CATGACCTCATAAATAAGGTTCTGCAGCGGGCAACTTAAGGTTGTCTTGGGCAATTCACCTTCATATCTGAAGATACACAGAACTGCACACCAGTCAGAATCACCCTTCATGTAGTTAATAGCCTGTCAGAACAGTCATTAATTCATCAGTGTGAGGAAAACAGCAAAAAACATATTTACCTGAAAATCTAAATCATTTCTCAGTATTCAGTGTGACTATTCTTCGCCTTTATTGCAGCTTCTATTCTTTCCAGAAGACTCATTTTTTAAATTCCTCAAAGAAATCTGGAAAGCTATTTTTCCACACCTCCAAATTTCATTTGTGAAAGTTGGTAGCATTTTTTTCTTTTTCACAGTTCAAGTCATCCTAAACATATCTGGACCCTGTAGTGGTCAGTCCTTAGTTCTGAGAACACCTGCAGCTTTCTTGGTTGAATTTCAAATGTTCTTCCTTTTTTGTCTGTGTCTTTTTCTCAGTGATGCTTCCTGACAGCTACACATCCTTTCAGACCCATAGTGAGGGCGTTCAGAGGGCTTGACCTCACTATATGTATTTATTGGAACTTAGTACACAGTTAAGCGTTTGTTGTATTTTCAGTTAAATTTGAAGCTGACAGAAAACTATGTCATGTACTTGGATTTACCTCTTCAAATATCATTTGACGCGCTGATCTGTCCTCCTCCACAACAAACTGAAAGCTGTTTAAAGAGTGTAAATTCATCTACAAGGTTTACTGCACTGTGCAAAAGTCTGAGACCACTGTTCTTTTATTTAACTTCCAGCTGAAAAGGCCACTAAGTACAAGTTCCTTATTTTTCAGGACATTTCTCTGAGGAGATTAGATGTATGATAATCCACTTGCACAAGGAAGGAGAAAGTCAAAGTAAGTCAGGTGTAAAACACAGGAGTTTTCAAAACTTGAGTGCAACAAGTTTTTAACACAACAATATGGGACTCCTAACAAATATGCAAACCTGGTAGACCAGCAAAACTGCCACCATGAAATAAACAGAACAATGTTAGAAATGAAGGTTCTGTGCAGGTATATTTGTTGTTCATCAAGGTATAAATAATGTAAATGTTCCCTCAAATGTACAACAGTGGTTTTAAGGTCCTGTATAAGGCTTTTCCAGGTGAAAAGTACATATTTATACCTTTTCATAACCTAATGTTTTAAATCAGGACAATAAAATAAAAAGCCTGGAGACGAGACGGGGTGTGTGGAGTCAGTACAGCTTAGAAAATATCATTTGAATGAAACTGAACTGAATGAAATAGCAGAGAAAATCTTTCTGTGATCATGTTTCATTCAGAACTTTAATTCTTCTTCTTTTCTGCAGGTTTTCAGAGTCAGACTCTCACTCAGTCTGAAGCTGTGGTTAAAACACCTGGAGAATCTCATAAACTGACCTGTACAGCATCTGGATTCTCATTCAGTAGCTATGCTATGTCCTGGATCAGACAGGCTCCTGGAAAAGGACTGGAATGGATTGCATATATTGGCACATCCAGCACTCCCATCTGCTATTCCCAGTCAGTCCAGGGAAGATTCACGATCTCCAGATCCGACTCCAGCAGTCAGCTGTACTTACAGATGAACAGCCTGAAGAGTGAAGACACTGCTGTGTATTACTGTGCAAGACGAGACTCACAGTGATAGAAAACAGTGACAGAGCTGTACAAAAACACTTCGTCATTTATGTACAGTAAAGCTTACATGCAGTGGTGCTCAGTGACTCAGAGTACTGTTCAGTTTCTCTGAGCCTCAGAGAGCCACTTATCACTTTGCCACTACAGCAGTGTTTATATAAGTACATATCGATTTAACATTAATATAATAATGAGCTGGAGGAATTTGCGGGGGACAGGGTCGTCTGGGATTCTCTGCTCTCCCAACTGCTGCCGCGACCCTATCTGGACTAAGCGGTTAACGATGATGATGATAATTATAATAATGTAAATTTAATTAAGATGTCATTTTTCAGATCAGTAACTACTTTTTATGCATTTGTTGATTCAAGTCCAGAGTGTAGCACATGAATATAACTGGTATTTTGACCTAAAATATGCTTTATAATTTACATTACCTTTTTCAAAAATGTTGCATGTGGAAATGTGATGTAACAGAAATAGCCTGTTTTTGGTAACACCTTTCATTAGGGCAGTGTTCATAAAGCTACATGACAACTGCATACACATGTAATGGCAACTGGCATAAACCTTATTAAACATCTGTCATAAAGGTCTTCAACTTTGTTTTCAAGTTGATGTTACATGTGGCATGAAATTGTTTTTTTCTGACATTGGGCTGTCGACACTTTTTAGGGTGAAATGTCATCATAACAACTGTTGCTAGGTAGTTTGTATGTTGTTACTTGGTGGCTGCTGTGGTATTGTAGGTGGTTGCAAATATGTTGCTAAGCAGCTGCAAAGGAGGCAGTTGCTATGGTGTTGCTAAGTGGTTGCTAGGGCATTGCTAGGTGGTCATGCTTCGGCAGCGTTTATGAAGCTTCATGACACCTACATAAGCTTATTATGGAAACCAACAAACATTTAAAGGTTAATTACATTAAGCACCATCTGTAATAAAGGCTCTCAACGCTGATGTCAAGTTGACTTTACACATGACATGAAATGGGCTGTCAGGACAGTTTTTGGGTAAAACGACATCATAACAACTGATTGTGTTGCTTAGTATACAGCACAGTTACATAATGCTGATAAAGTGACATTTACAAATGCTTAAATTAAAGTTATTTTACCTACGAGCCACAGAAACTCACCCATATCTTTTTCAGGCTATGTCATATTATTAGCATTGACAATGTTATATACAGTGAGCTACAATGTTTGTCATATTACCCCAGAAACAGTCATGATAACCTAATGTCATTAAAAAATCTATAGATGTTATGTCAACTTTACATCAAAGCTGGCGAATGCTACATACATGTACATTACATGTTGCTTGTTGGAATAAGTGTTTATAGGTCTGTGTTAGTCTTATGTAGAGTAATGAACATTCTCCTACAGTAAAGTGTAAACCGATTTTTTATTTATGATCTACTGTTAAGATCTGTTTGTAAAATCTACTACCAGAACCTAAAAGTGGTCAAAGAACACCACAAATATTACCGTTACTTCTTCATTATGCTTATTTGATTTGTTTAGTATCTGACAAATTTGGGCCCTACAACATGAACAAACCTTACAATTAGTCAATCTCAAACTCAATGTATGAAGAAAATGCAAAATGAAAGTATATAAACAGTATCAGACTTGACTGTGTTTAGGCTCAGTGCTGTAATAAAAGCATTAAAACTCTCATAGAGGATCAATAAAAGATCTGGAGTGTAACGGTGGTAAAGCTTTACTTGAAATTTGATGCATAACATTGACATAACCATGCCATACTATATTGACAAAAGTATTGGGACACGTACACATTACACCTAAGAGAGCTTTTATGACACTTTATGGCACTGATGTTGGACGAGAGGTCCTGGCTCACAATCTCCATTCTAGTTCATGCCAAAGGTGTTTGATGGGGTTGAGGTCAGGGCTCTGTGAGGGCCAGTCGAGTTCTTCCACACCAAACTAACCCAGCCATGCCTTTATGGACCTTGCTTAGTGCGCTGGTGCTCAGTCATGCTGGAACAGAAAAGATTCTTCCCCAAACTGTTCACTCAAAGTTGGAAGCATATAATTGTCCAAAATGTCTTGGTCTGCTGAAGCATTAAGATTTCCCTTCACTGGAATTAAGGCCAAACCCTGAAAACAACCCCAAAGCTTCATCCCTCCTCCACCAAACTTTACAGCTGGCATAATGCAGTCAAGCAGGTAATGTTCTCCTGGCATTCGCCAAACCCAGACTCGTCCATCAGACTGACAGATAGAGAAGTGTGATTCGTTACTCCACAAAATATGTTTCCATTGCTCCAGGATCCAGTGGTGGCGCTTTACACCTCTCCATCCAATGCTTGGCAAGTGCTTGGTGACGTAAGGCTTGCATGCAGCTGCTTCGCCATGGAAACCCATGCCATTAAGCTCCTGGCACAGTTTTTGTGCTGATGTTAATGCCAGAGGAGGTTTGGAACAGTAGAACAGTTACTGAGTCAGCAGAGCGTTGGCGACTTTTATGCACTATGCTCCTCAGCACTCGGCGACCCGCTCAGTAACTTTACATGGTGGGAAGACATTTTGCAAACTGACTTGTTGCTATGGTAGCATACTATTACAACACCATGTTCGAATTCAGTGAGCTCTTTAGAGTGACCCATTCTTTCATAAATGTGTGTAAAGTCAGACTACATGGCTACATGCTTGATTTTATACATCTGTGCTAATGGGACTGAATGGAACACCTGAATTCAATAAATAAGAGATGTGAACCCATACATGTATTGTATATTGTACAATATATATAATTACAGTTATTTATTTTCTTAGAAATTCTGCCTTTTACTGTAATTCAGCAGTTTTATTAATTAGTCCAGTTATTCTGGCATCATAATTATAACAGGGACAACCATTAAAATAAAAGCAATTGTCTGTGAAATCAATCATTTTTTGTGTTTTTGGGAATTTACAGTCTATTTCTGTACATAAAAAATGCCAGTGTTAAAATGCAATATTTGTATGGTTTAGTTACATTCATATACCCTTAATAAAACAAGTATTGATCATTACATTTTACAATATTTTGACAGGGAAAATATTGTTACAGTGTTTTGTTTTACAGTGTATTCATCTATCATAACATCAAACATTATGAAAACTATCATGGCGATTATCAGTAATGTTAACATGACACTGTTTTATTTACTGTTTATATAGCAGAGTTGATGTTACTGTAGTAGTGTCTCTGATATCAGGCACATAATCATATCTACATTAAGATTAGAGCAGCTGTATGCAAATATTCTTCCCTCTAATACATATTTAAGCAGATGGAGGTGAAGACCAGCACCTTTCACTTGTTCAGCATCAACTCCACACCATGTTCTCTACATCTCTGCTGCTGCTGCTGACCACTGTGACCTGTGAGTGCTTTTGGACTTACTGCAGAACAGTTTATGCATATTTATGGATTTTCCACTTCATAATGTTTTAACATTTTTAGGTGTTCACAGTGTTGAGCTGACCCAGCCTGGATCCATGGTCAAAATTCCTGGTCAGTCGATGTCACTGACCTATAAAGTTTCTGGATATTCACTGACTGATTGGAGCTACTGTACATACTGGATATGGCAGCCTGCAGGAAAAGCTCTGGAGTGGGTTGTAAGGACATGTGGTGGTGGTTACACTGACTACAGCGATAAACTGAAAAGCAGGTTTGAAGTTACCAGTGATTCTACCAGCAGCACAGTGACCTTAAGAGGACAGAATCTGCAGACTGGAGACACAGCTGTGTATTACTGCCCTCGTCAATGGCACAGAGAGACAACCCTGTACAAAAACACCCCTGCTAGTCTTTTAAAAGATCACAGTCAGTACCACATAAAACCAGGAGGGGCAGTCTTCACTATTAAAACTCCAGTTTGATCAGATCTTTCAAAATTCCACAGATTTTTTAATATTTCTGCTTTATTCAGTGGTTGAGATTTTTTTTTTTTCTCCAGAAATGTATGCATCTTTCTGGAGATAGAAACCAGGGGTCATGATGTCTACAATACAAATATGTTCATTTTATTTACTACCCAAAACCACCAACGAACCTGCACGTCTCCTGAGCTTTTGTGTACAATGTGATATTGATAATATAAATGGTAAATGTAAAAATATGCTTTCTTTGGGAAATATTTTGTCTTACAGTGCCATTAATGTACCTTTCCATTATCCTTATCTCACAACTACTGTAAAATAATGTTTCAGGCCTCAGGCAGCCATTACCATTTCCTATAATAACTGTCTGTGAGGGAGCTTTGAGAGGCATTGAACTCTTCAGACATCCTGTTTCTATCACTACCACTGTGAGCAATTCTGCTTGGTAAGTTTCTCTAACATGGAACATTTTATGAAGAATAACAGG